GGTAGCAAGGGCTGCAGGCAATGTAAACAAGCCCTTAGTTTAGTGAACATGGTGAAAATTCAATCTGGAAATAATATCCTAACGCGTGCAAGGAAAATTAAAAACAGCATTTTCGCTTGCATATGTTTGGATGATGGACCTAAATTCCTTTTCAAAATAAAAAACAAAGTCAAAATGAACAGCCTATATGACTTTAGTAAGTCAACCTCACAGAGTCAACACATAAAGCTCATTTTATTTAGATCTTGATACAATTTTGATTTTAATTATATACCATTTTGACCTTAAACATAGCAGTACTTGATTTTCATATGACGTGATCAACATGTTTCAGCTTGACGTTGGCCATGTAGTTTTGGTTTCATGCTTTATACAAAATATAAAAACAATTAACATTTTCTAATAAAGGAACTAACTACAAAGCACTGATATTTAGTTTAAATCAAGGGGCCAAACAGGGATGACAAAAACACTTTGGAGTTGATTTACTAAAGCTGGAGAGTGCAAAATCAGGTACAGCTGTGTATGGTAGCCAATCGGCTTCTAACTTCAGCTTGTTCAATTAAGCGTTGACAAAAGAAACTGGAAAGAAACGTTTCAGTTTTAGTAAATCAACCCCTTTGCCTAAAAGATAACTTTTCCTTTATTAGAGCAGCCTCTAGCTTTTTTGGGGGGGGCCAGCCAGCTTTCCAAACTGCCTCAGACCAGTGGCATTTATGGCATTGATGGTTTGCAAATTCCCCTGCTTTTGTTCTAGCAGACCCCATTTGGGTACTTTTCCTACATGATACCAATTTATTACTCATTTAAAAAAACAGACATTTGACTGCCATAACTGGATTTTGAGTTAGTATTACTTGCTCTTTTTTAACCATATTTATGTGCTTAATGCTGCAACTTTTTCCAGGGGCAGATGACATTGAAACTACTGAACATGACTGCTTAGAAAACACTCAAGCTTTTGTGTTTATATTGTAAAGCGCTGAGCAAACTGTTGGCGCTATATCAATCCTTTATAATAATAATAATAATTGTGTTTTACTTACTGATTTGTCTGATGTCCTTCATGAAATTTCAGAGCTGGCAACACCATAGTAAATGACGCTGATGTTCTGGAAACTGGGATTGCAAGGTAACATAACTTGCTGAATTGACAGCATTTACTAGAGTGTGCACATTAGCTAAAAACCAAACTGCTAACGCCTACACAGATTCAGCAGGTGACTACTCTCTAGCAGTAGAGTACATTTTGTACTTCATTTAGAATTAGCGATTGCACATCCTGCTACTGTTGCAGAATTGTATGCTGGTGTTGTTACTAACTTAAAGTCCAGTGATTAAAATGTGCAGCTTGCACCCTTTAGACCTGATGATGTTCTAAATGAAAATACTTCAGGTGGGTGTGTAGTAAAAGTATTAAAGTATTAGTGAGCTGTATGGCTTTTTTTGTTTCGATGCTGTATAAATATTGTATTCAATATTGAATAAACAATATAAAACACAATTACACGTGCATGTCATTTTTCATTCTCGCTGAAATGATGGAGCAGACAACTTCTGAAAGTCTCATAGTGAGGAGATATTAAGTAATTATAACATAAATTGTAATTGTTAATATTGACCAGTTCCTGCCAAACTCTCGGTGGGTGGGATTTATTGCCAGTAGGCCTCATATGTGTCCCTATGTAAACACTTCCCTGTGCTAAGAGCACTTTCCCTGCATGCTTCCAGCACAGTTACCAGCAGCTACTAGAAAGTTCTCTATGCATACTTGCAATTAGGAGCTTTTTGATCATGTGACAGCTGTGACTGACAAATACAGTGTTCACGGGACTGGAATGCCCACCTTCTCCTGTAGAAGCTCTTAAAAGGGTTGGTTTAATCCGGCCCTTTAAGGTTTTCAGAAGCCGGGAGGCGGGGTAGTGTTTTAAGGTCATGTGACCGTTGTGATTCGCTGTCACGGCGGTTACATGATCGGGAAAGGTCCCGATTGAAAGAGATTGGGACCTTTCCGTGAGTACCGGACATGGGTGCTGGGAGTGCGCAGGGCGCTCACTTTCAGCACATATGTTTTTGTAAATTGCACGCTCGGCGTCAAGGCCCAGACGCCAGGAGGCCGCTCATTTGTGTGTGGCCGGTGTGAAGAGGTTAAAGTAGAATTATAAACTATGGTAGCTAGGGGTAAGGGTGGTGAAAGCAGCCTACCTAAATATTTTACCTGTTCACAAATTGTCAAAGAATGTTTCATTATGGAGTTGACTATAGATTTTTGAGTTATTGGGGTTATCCAAAGAATTGTGTCTACTGCTGTAAGCCGTGTACCGGGGTGGGCTCCCCAGGATACAGTGAAGTCACGAACGAGGAAAGCAACCCCAACACCAGCTTTTGCCACAACAGAATTTTACTTAGATGTGGCAAATAAACACAACCACATTTGCTGGAAACATACAATAAATGTACATACACCCAGCCCAAAGGCTGAGACCCTTGTGCTGCACAGTACGGCGCCTCCTGATGGATGAAGGTAGAAAGTGAAGTAATTTACCTACTGGTGAGCACGACTAAGCTGCCACACATTACCTGTTATTACCCTAAAAGAGCAGGGATCAGTGTATGGGTGTATGGTATAGGATAGCCTGCGGTACAGCACAACAGCTTACAATCTTACACAAATCTACAGTATTCCCCCTCCCATAACTGGTCCTGTAGCACGTGCCTGAGTATTCCTTCTGAGCAAAACTCCAGACTGGCTTGAGTTTGTAGGATTTTATCAGCTCTCCAATGTGAAATGTCACTTTAAGTTGTGGAGTCCTTCCAATGATCAGTAACAACACTTGTGGCCTGACACAAACAGAGACCCTAACTAACTAACTATAGGCCTGGACTCAGTCTCAAGGCGCCAACACTGAAATGAGGTGCATGCATGATCTTACCGACCCGGGTCTACTTTGCATCCGCTGGTGACTCTGAACAGAACAAATGTCTCTCCAACAAGCATGCGATCTTGCCGTATATGTTGCTTAGTTCCTCTGCTCTCATCAGCCTTCCTGGCAGTAATGTCATCAGCTTCCTGGCAGCAATCTCATCAGCATTCCTGGCAGCAATCTCTGGTTACTGAAGGGTGCTCTCACACCTAGATGTCATCAGATTCTCAGCTCACATGGCCCCCCTCATTCACCATTCTCCAGAACATGGCTGCTCTCTCGCCTCTGTGTGAAAACTCCACCTCTTCATGAATATAGAAATCTCTATGCAGTCTGAGGCTGTGTTACAAAAACAGTGACATCTTGTGGCTAAACTGCAGAATGTCAGTCAAAACATTTAATTTACTCCACACAAGCAGTATTCAAACAATGAGAGCTGTTTCCCCATCTCACACTGCTATAATCAGATATGCTTCTATGCTCACCAAAGAGCTGTATTAGAGGTTTCAAAGTAGGAAACCAAGGGGGATATTTGTGCTGATTGGTAGCAGTTTATGATCTGTGGTATTGCAAGGTCCAAGTGAATTCATGGATGAAATAAGACTTTTTGGATACACTTGTTTTTAAAGAGTTACTAAACCCAGGACCCTGCATTCACTCTATCTGGTCTCTCATAGAACATGGACGTACAAGTGTTTTAGCAAATATAAACTACTAAATACCTTTTCCCATCAGCAGTTAGAGCAGTCTTGTGACTTTTATCAGTGTCCAGCACAGTAAATATTAAAACTTGTAGGATGAGTTTTTTTTCTGCTCTAGGAGGATGCAGGACTGCTGCCTTCTGTCTGGACAGTGCTGATTGGCCCTGTTCTAATCACATGCACTCTCCCAAGAAAAAAAAAACCTCTCTAGCAATACACACCAAACTAAGCATGTGCAGAGTGACTCCACACAATATGTATTATCAGGTTATAAGAGGGGAACACTGTAAGACGGGGAGAATCACAGAAGTCAGGATCAAACTGCCTTTTTACAAAATGTAGAGGATTAACCCCTTAGGTTCTACAGTGAGTATAACAAGCATGCTTTACTGCATATGCAGACTGATTTTACTGTTATGGGTTTAGTAACACTTTACATCTTGCTAAATAATCCCTAGGCAGACCCTTTGAACATGTGAAGGGGGAGAAGGACATTGACCGGATATACCATTTTAGAGAATAGAAATAAAGAAAGGACTCTAAGTACAATAAAATCAATTTATTAAAATAAAAAGCTCATGCCAATCACAGATAAATTGTAACAGGCTCATCAATAAATCATTCTGCTAGGAAGAGGTCTGAAGAGGAACAGTCAGCTGGCAGAAAGATGGTCTGGGCAAGATGACACCTGAACTTTCGGAGCCACCATGGATCACAAGGCTGGAAGTGGAGGTGACATCACAGAACAGGGAGGGAATACATTTTGGAGCATGCATGCTACTTTCTCAAACTGGAAGATGGGAGGTGAAGAGTCACAATTTATGAAGGAGTGATCAAGGGACTACTAAGCCAAGTGAAACCAAAAATTGCATAAAATGCAGTATATCATGACGCAAATGTGTTACACATCTACCACAATAAGTACTTAAAGCAACATAAACCACTTGCCCTTCTGAGGATTTACCTCCCTTCCTGACCAGGCCATTTTTTGCATTACTGCACTGCATTAATTTAACTGACGATTGCACAGTCATGCAAAGTTGCACCCAAATTAAATTTACATCCTTTTTGCCCCACAAATTTCTTTTGGTGGTATTTGATTGCCTGTGTGTTTTTTTTATTTTTTGCGCTATAAGAAAAAAACATGCTGACAATTTTCAGGTAAAAACAATATTTTTGACTTTTGCTATTAAACATCCAGTAAAAGAATTTAAAAAATCAAATTTCATCATAAATTTAGGCCAAAATGTATTCTGCTACATGGCTTTGCTAAAAAGAAAATCCCAATACGTGTAAATTAATTGGTTTGCATTTACAAATGGCGGTATAGATACTGGAATTTTTTTTGCTACTAGTAATGGTGACGATCAGCGACTTATAGTGGGACTGCGGCGGACATGCTCACAGGGGGGGGGGGGGGGAACTGACTTAGTGTTACTGACATCCCCAGTGACACCAATACAGTGATCAGTGCAACAAAAAACCATTGACACTGTACTAATGGCACTGGGCAGGAAGGGGTTAACATGAGGGGCGATCAAAGGGTTAACTGTGTGCAGGGAGTGTTTTACTAGGGGGCAATGTCAGTGTGCTTTACTGTAATCACACTGCTATGCACAGCCATCCAAAGCAGTGTGCCCAAGCTGACAGGGATAACCGTTAGTAAACAAAACAGTCCTCCTCCCTGCCAGAGATCCTTGGTAATCACCGGGCAACAGCGAGTAATCACTGACCGAGACCCGGTGATTAACAGCCACGGCCACGAATGGTGGTGCGGGGAGGGTGCATGCCCCCCACCCGGAAATGCAAAATCATGTATAGGTACATGATTCTGCACACCCGTGTTGCTCTGTAGCAGTATTTCTGCTATAGGGCGGTCGGAAAGTGGTTAAAGCTTTGTTTTTGTAATTAAAATAACAACCATGTCATGCTTACCTTTTCTGTGCAATGGTTTTGAACAGAGCAGCCCCGATCCTCTTCTTCTGGGGTCCCCCATCGGTGCTTCAGGCTTCCCCTCTTCAGCACGTTTCCCCATAGAAATCTGCTTTCCATAGGGGCACCAGTGATTGCTCACTCCCAAGCCACCCTATGTCTATTGACACATAGCGTGCAGCTCAGCCTGGCCGCTTGCTCACTCATAGAGCATTTGATTGACAGCAGTGGGATCCAATGGTTCCCGCTGCTATCAATCTGTCCAAGGAGGAGGGAGACAATGGTGAGAGCCGCTGCTCTTGTGCACATTGCTGGATCAGATTGGACTCAAGTAAGCTCAGGCTGGGGCAATTTTTGCAGCACAGAAGGAAGGCTTTTGACTTTAATTCAAAGAATGCATTAAGATAAACAAACCTTAAGGCTTTAGAACCACTTTAAGCATATGGCAAACTAAAACGCAAACAAATTACGATGGTATAAAGCGCAATAAGAACAGAATGGACATAATAAAACCGCAATATATAAAAATGTTAAATATTGTAAAATAGGACATAATAAATCCCTGATAATAAGATTGCAAATGACTTAGTGAGTTGGTATATTCCTACGATTTAAACCATTTTACCTCTTTATTAGCAATAAAAACTAATTCTAATTAGTTCTAATTCTTCTCCGCTGTGTCCATCCTACTGGATATTGTATGAGATAAAATAATGTACTGCATGGTTAATTAAATAAATAATGCATATTTCAGAAGAATACCCATGCAGTATTTTAGAAGCATTTTTTCCGGAATGCCAACAAAAAAAAATTAAACCAGTAAGGAACATTTCACCACATTTCTTAAAGCAGTAGAAACCACTTCATGAATGGAGCCCACTATGACCAAACAATCCAGGCTCTTAGGCTGAGAATACAGAGGTAATAGGTGCAGCTGAGTCCTGTTGGAATATGGAACAACTACAAACACAGCGTTATTCTTTGCGTGATGGCACTAGTCATGTGCTCCACTTTTCCCTTTCAGTGTTAGGTAGAATTACTGTGCTTTTGTTGGTCTCCAAGCCCAAAAGATAGGAATTCATTGATCATGGTGCACATTTGTGAAGGGCCGTCTTTATTATTGATTGGACCCTGGGCAAACATTTTCTTGCCCCCTTCCCCCCCCATGCAATATCACTCTCCACCAGACACAAAAGTCTTATCTAAAAAAAACTAAAACATTATTGTAAAGGCTCAAGGTTTCTTACCTTCATACATTCTATGCATGAAGGCAAAAAATAGAGATGAGCGAATTATTCAAAAATTCGATTCGGCTCATTCGCCGAATTTGCGGGAGAAATTTGATTCGATGCGAATTTATTCGCCGCGAATTTAACTTATTAAAAGGGTTTCTAGGCTTCAGAGAGCCTTTATATTAGTGCAGAACACTGTACCTTTAATTTAAATGCCCTTGGAGTCTGCTGGGGAAGAGAAATAATACTGTCAGTCAGTATGACATGCAGATGAGTGCCGTCGATCTTAGAATCACCGCACACTTCACTCATTTGGGCAGTCACGGGGCACGACGAAGAAGAAGAAGAAGAAGAATGAAAAGAAGAATGAAAAGAAGAAGAAGAAGAATGAAAAGAAGAAGAAGAAGAATGAAAAGAACAATGAAGAGAAGAAGAAGAAGAATGAAAAGAAGAAGAAGAATGAAAAGAACAATGAAAAGAAGAAGAAGAAGAATGAAAAGAAGAAGAAGAAGAATGAAAAGAACAATGAAAAGAAGAAGAATGAAAAGAACAATGAAAAGAAAAGAAGAAGAATGAAAAGAAGAAGAAGAAGAATGAAAAGAAGAATGAAAAGAAGAAGAAGAAGAATGAAAAGAAGAAGAAGAAGAATGAAAAGAAGAATGAAAAGAAGAAGAATGAAAAGAAGAATGAAAAGAAGAAGAATGAAAAGAAGAAGAAGAATGAAAAAAAGAAGAAGAATGAAAAGAAGAGGAAGAAGAATGAAAAGAAGAATGAAAAGAAGAATGAGAAGAATGAAAAGAAGAATGAAAAGAAGAAGAAGAATGAAAAGAAGAAGAAGAAGAATGAAAAGAAGAATGAAAAGAAGAAGAAGAAGAATGAAAAAAGAAGAAGAAGAAGAATGAAAAGAAGAATGAAAAGAAGAAGAAGAAGAATGAAAAGAAGAGGAAGAAGAAGAATGAAAAGAAGAATGAAAAGAAGAAGAATGAAAAGAAGAAGAAGAAGAATGAAAAGAAGAAGAAGAAGAAGAATGAAAAGAAGAATGAAAAGAAGAAGAAGAAGAATGAAAAGAAGAAGAAGAAGAATGAAAAGAAGAATGAAAAGAATAAGAAGAAGAATGAAAAGAAGAAGAAGAATGAAAAGAAGAAGAATGAAAAGAAGAAGAAGAAGAAGAATGAAAAGAAGAATGAAAAGAAGAAGAAGAATGAAAAGAAGAAGAAGAATGAAAAGAAGAATGAAAAGAAGAAGAAGAAGAATGAAAAGAAAAAGAAGAAGAATGAAAAGAAGAATGAAAAGAAGAAGAAGAAGAAGAATGAAAAGAAGAAGAAGAATGAAAAGAAGAAGAAGAAGAATGAAAAGAAGAATGAAAAGAAGAAGAAGAAGAATGAAAAGAAGAAGAAGAAGAATGAAAAGAAGAATGAGAAGAAGATTGAAAAGAAGAATTAAAAGAAGAATGAGAAGAATGAAAAGAAGAATGAAAAGAAGAAGAATGAAAAGAAGAAGAAGAAGAATGAAAACAAGAATGAAAAGAAGAAGAAGAAGAATGAAAAGAAGAAGAAGAAGAATGAAAAGAAGAATGAAAAGAAGAAGAAGAAGAAGAATGAAAAGAAGAAGAAGAAGAATGAAAAGAAGAATGAAAAGAAGAAGAAGAAGAATGAAAAGAAGAATGAAAAAGAAGAAGAAGAAGAATGAAAAGAAGAAGAAGAAGAATGAAAAGAAGAATGAAAAGAAGAAGAAGAATGAAAAGAAGAAGAAGAAGAATGAAAAGAAGAATGAAAAGAAGAAGAAGAATGAAAAGAAGAAGAAGAAGAATGAAAAGAAGAATGAAAAGAAGAAGAAGAAGAATGAAAAGAAGAAGAAGAAGAATGAAAAGAAGAATGAAAAGAAGAAGAAGAAGAAGAAGAATGAAAAGAAGAAGAAGAATTAAAAGAAGAAGAATTCCAGTACAGCAAAAAGTGTATCTGCAGAGAGCTCCGCTATTTCTGACAGTTCTCTGACAGTTTTGACAGTTCATTTACAGCGGTTGAAACATTGTATCTATTTATTTCCGAATAAAAACATCTGTATCCTAAATGGAAACAAATAGATACAATGTTTCAACCGCTGTAAATGAACTGTCAGAACTGTCAGAGAACTGTCAGAAATAGTGGAGCTCTCTGCAGTGACACTTTTGCCGGCTGATCGGGGAAAATTCGATTCGTGCATCCTAAGTTTGCTAAAATTCGGATTCGATGCGAATCAAATTTTTCCTAATATTCTAAACGAATTCCACTTCGCCAAGTTCGATTCGCTCATCTCTAGCAAAAAACCTTCTGTGTGCAGCAGCCACCCCAAAAACTTGCCTGAGCCCCCTCTCAATCCAGTTATGTTCCACAAGAGCCTTGGTTCTCCAGAAAATCTCACATCAGATTGGCTGAGGCAGCAGTGGGAGCTATTGGCTCCTGCTGCTGTCAATCAAAGCCAGTCAGCCAATCAGGATAAGGAGAGGGTGGGACTGAGCTGCGGCTGTGTGTGTGAATGGACATGCAGAGCCGCAACTCGGTAGTGCTCCTGCTCAGGTGCCCCCATAGCAAGCTGCTTGCTGTGGGACACCCAACAGGAGGGAGGGGCAAGGAGTGCTGGTGGGGGACCCTACAAAAAGGAGGATCCGGGCTGCTCTGTGCAAAACCACTGCACAGAGCAGGTAAGTATAACATGTTTGTTAACCCCCCCCCCAAAAAAAAAAAAAAAAAAAAAACAAGACTTTTAGTATCACTTTAACCCCTTCACACCAAAGGGTAAAACAAATCTTAAAGCCTAAGTAAAATTTTACAACTTTAACATGTGTTAATAAAACCGTACATATCATCACAACTACTTTGTACATCCAGGTGAATTATACCTTGTCTTTTTCAGGACAAATTGGGCTTTCATTTGGTGGTAAATGGTAATGGGTATCTCCTTTTTTTCATTATCAAAGGAAAACTGTCCCAAAATAGTAAAAAAAAATTTTTTTTTTAATTTAGCTGTGTGTTTCTTGTCACTACTATAACCTGCTAACAAAGAACAACCCAAAATACATTTTCCAGCTCTTGATGATTACAGCGATACCATATATGTGTATGTTATTTGTACCTGTACAGCACCCCAGAAACAATAGTGAGCATTTGGTTTTTTTTTACCTAAAACACACTGACACAAACCAATAAAAAAAAAAATCCTGACTTTTTGACCCTGACCTCTGACCTTGACCTTGACACAAACCCTGGAACTGAACTAGATCAAACCTTGATCTGGGTATGTTTTCTTTATTTTTAATTTATTTTTAAATGTTTATCTATATTTCTTTTTCTTTTTTTTTTTACAAAGTTTTTTTTTTCTCTTCAAGGAGATAGAGAGATGCAATATATCTCTCTCCTCCATTCAGAGAAAAACAAAAACCAAGGCTGACCAGAGACTGATCACTGTGATAGCAAATCAGATGCTATCACAACAATTATGTGACTCATAATCAGGAGTCCCGGGTCCCAATTGTTAGAACAGGACCCATGGCTCTCAGCGAGCACACTGTGTGACGCACTCCCAGCACAAAGACAGGTGTGCAAATATGCGGACCCACGGAAAAAGCCCAGTTCTGTGAGGTAGCATTTTTGTGTGACGTCGGCGGGAAGGGGATACAAATTTAAACATAAAGAACTGGTCCACACTCACTGATAGGTTGCTAGAGGTTACAGCACGTCGTTACTGCTCACTGATTGGTTGCTAGAGGTTACTGCACATTGTTTACTCACTGCCTGCATACTACAGGAGATGATCAGAGACTGCAGACACATTACAGGAGATGATCAGAGACTGCAGACATACTACAGGAGAAGGTCAGAGACTGCAGAGATATTACATGAGAAGGTCAGAGACTATAGGCATATTACATGAGAAGGTCAGAGACTATAGGCATATTACAGGAGATGGTCAGAGACTGTAGGCATATTACAGAAGATGGTCAGGGACTGCAGGCATACTATAGGATACGGTCAGAGACTGCACACATACCACAGGAGAAGGTCAGAGACTGCAAGCATGCTATAGGAGAAGGTCAGAGACTGAAAACATGATACAGAAGAAGGTCAGAGACTGCAAACATGATACAGAAGATGGTCAGAGACTGCAGGCATACTATAGGAGAAGGTCAGAGACTGTGCACATACCACAGGAGAAGGTCAGAGACTGCAAGCATGCTATAGGAGAAGGGCAGAGACTGCAAACATTATACAGAAATGATACAGAAGATGGTCAGAGACTGTAGACATACTACAGGAGATAATCAGAGACTGCAGACATAATACAGGAGATGGTCAGATTCTGCATACATAGTACAGAAGATGGTCAGAGACTGCATACATGGAACAGGAGAGGGTCAGAAACTATGAACATACTACAGGAGATAGTCAGAGACTGTGGCCATAGTACAGGAGAGGGTCAGAGACTGCAGACATACTACAGGAGACGGTCAGAGACTGCAGGCATAGTACAGGAGATGTGCAGAAACTGCAGACATACTACAGGAGATGGTCATAGACTGCGTACATAGTAAAAGAGATGGTCAGAGACAGCAGACATACTGCAGGAGACAGTCAGAGACTGCGGACATACAACAGGAGAGTGTCAAAGATTGCAAGTATACCACAAGAGAATGTAGATGTCAGGGACTGCATCTGGCTGTATACTGCTCACTGCACCGCCCCATGTACTGTCTGATTGCCTATCCCTGTACTATGTCTTCTGTCTGCTGAACACTCTTCATGGCCCTTCCTGATCAGCACAACAGGTGCTCTAAGTGTTCCCATACCACACATGTCATTTACTTACTTCTCTGTGTGGCACCGACAATGACGACAGGTCCCAGACTCCAAGCACAGGTGCCCCCGCCCCACTGGTCTCAGCTCTGGTTGTTAGGGGTGGAGTGATTGGCTGTTGTGGAGGTCATGTCAGGCAGTGGTTGGTTGGGACCCGGAAGAGGTGATGGAGCACCGAGCCACAAAATTCAAGATAAAAAAAAGCCAGGCACACATCATCCAGGACCCGCCTTGCTGCAGCACAGCCAGAGTCCATTCTCAGTGAGCATTCGGCCAGCTTAGGGAACTGCGCATGAGCAGTTCCAAAGCTAAGAACAGCCAACTTTTTACGGGCAATGCGGGCTCAAGGGGCAGCTGCTTTGGGCCCCACAACAATGACCAGGCCCTGGGCAGCTGCCCCTTTTGCCCTGTGATAAGGACGGCCCTGAGAAGCGCCATCAGTTTTCATAAACAGTTAACAATATCCTACAATGTCTCATGTTTAATGCAAATGTAGCTAATATTGTGTTTATCATAATATACAGTAGGTTTTATTTACAATTAAGCCTTTTGTATATTTTTAAAAGTATTGATTTTGCTAAGCCTTGTAGTCCCTTAATTGTTTATATAGAGCCACTCACACATTAAGGGTAGGTTTGACATAGAAGCCAGATGCTTCAAAACATATAGCTACCCCCCATGTCTTTTCCTAGCAATGATCCTCCCCCACATATTTACAATGAAGGTAGACTGAAAGGGGCCACAAAACTGACCCTAACCATCTTATTACATGCGCTCTCATTCAGTAGGCATTGGAGTGACCATTTGTCTCCTCTTTTAATGCTAAACTTTACGCTCTTTGTTTTTTTTTTTTGCTTTTCATATTACTATTAGAGATGTCCCATGAGCTCAGAGAGGAGCTGCATCTAGTGTAACTGGATTGAGTCCTTTTAAATCCTGATACACCAACCTGGATGTGGGACTTTCTGCAAAAAGATTAACTTTAAGTTTCTATACCTGTTATTAAAGGGCACAGTGGACACTTTTTTGCACCATTAATTATTTTCGTATTACTAAGGAGGATGTATAGCTTATATGAGGGGTGTAGAATATGACTTGTGCCAGTAAAGGGGTAAGAAACTGTGTGATGATCTTAATAATCTTAGGTCCTAACAGCTACTTTAGCTCACCTATTTGGAAGAAGGAGCTGCATTAGAGCTATGGTTAATATCAATGATGCCTTGGTTTACCAGCTTAACAGGTGAACAATTATAATGTTGACTATATACAATACAATTAATCACAGGCCTTTAAATGTGTGGTGTGTGTGTTGTTTCGCCATCTATTATTCACATTTTTGTTGTGACAGAAGGCTAATGGAAATTGCTGGTTGTATCCAGGATGGGAGGTACAGTATATTTGTCCCATGTTCAGGCAGTTTGAGGATTTCTTTTTCTTTTTCTTTTGATTGAGTCAGAGAACTAAGATTGTTGGGCTGCCTGATGAGATAATGAACCCAACTGAATCATGCCTGTTTATTCTGGGCTCTATAAACCCTCATGCACACTGGACGTTTTGATAACGCTGGTAACATTAGCTGTGTAAAGTCACATTAAAAATGTGAGTTTTTTGTAGCGTATTTTAGTGGTTATTTTTACAAAAAAACATTTTTTCGGGGGTTAAAAGAAGGTCCAAAAAAAACACCAGTTTTCAGCGTTTTACAGCGTTTTTTTACAGCTAAAAAAACTCCTCTAGAAACCCACTAGCTCTGGGGTTTTTTTCCAGCCAAAAACGTTGATTATAGTCTATGTGTGCATGGACACATAGGATAACATGCTGGGGGGTTTACTAGCTGTAGAAAAAAACCATCAAAAGCCAAAAACAGCAGCTGTAAAAACATCAAGTGTGCATGAGGACTGAAACTCCTGACCTGTGCAGGGATTTTGCTCCACCCTGGAACCAGTTTTTGGTGCATGTGTGACTGGATAGTGAAAGAAAACATGGTCAGGAAAACACAACTTGTTTGGTAAAGACTTTAGATTTGGAGAGAGAGAGATACACCAGGGCAGCACTAGGTTATCCCAGGTCTATTAACTGAGGCCTTTATGTATTAGTAAGGTGCCAAGTGTCATTGATTTATTTTGTTGTTTTTTTTTTCCTTCTTTATTTGACTGTTTTGATTCATGTGTATATAGCATTTGTAAATACATTGTATGTGTGTTTCAGCAAGATCTATTTTGCTGTGCTTGTTTAATGTGCTGTGTCCAGGGAGTCACACATACCCTGCAGCCAGGTTAATCTCTCACGGTGTATATAAAAAGCAATAAAACAGTCAACATGTTTAAACATATTATTATATTTATATAGGATTTATATAGCGCCAATACTTTGCTCAGCGCTGTATATTAAAAACATATAACACGGATTAGGAGAAATAGACTTGTTCTAGTATATAATCATTTATCTGCTTTGATAAAAGGCATCATAAGATCTAATGCCAATATGAAAAAAGCTATTATAAAAGTTTCTCTGGTGGATGATGATCCACACAATTGATTGTATAACTCAGCTTGTGTGCTGAGAGATGACTGTTTAGCCATGAACAGACTTGTTAAACTACAATAGCTTTCATCACCCTGTGCTGGTGAAAGTGACGCAAATATGTCATTAGGACCTGTAGCACATTATTCAGTGTCAATAAGTAGAAAGGGTGCTTGAACCTTGCTTATAGGTAACAATAAGTAAGTATGAGTAAATACACCTATCCTTTTAGATAAGAATCACTGGCCTGCTTCCTATAAAATGCCTTTATTGCATTCGGTTTAATGCAGTTATACATGAGGCTGTTACAAAAGTTCTGTTAATAGAGTTACAGTATAATAGAGTTACAGTATAAGGGCACAGTAATCCTTTTACCGGCTGACAATCTATAAAGAGAAAAACTGGAACTGATTTCCTTACACATTGAACTGTTAAAGAGAAAAACCTAAATAAAGTTATAATTTCAATTACCAGTAAAATATAAAACAAAACCACTTGTATTACTGTAAATGTGCATAAACATATACAATGCTGTAAAACAATTGCACACATGTTAAAAAGGTTGGGGACTCCTGCACAATTGACATTCAACTGTACATTAGAAATATACCACATTCTCCAAGGTTATATGCATTGCCTCCTTCTCTAAACCAGTAATAAATATCAAATGCCAAATAGCAATTTATAAAGGTCAAAAGCCTTGCAAAGACAGTAAGAGTTGTAAAGAATATAGTCAGTTATATCATATAAAGGATGTACACAGTTATTCACTGCATATTTTTTCTACCACAATTGTCTTCATACTATTTTGCACTACAACCAGGGCTGCTGTTAGAAACCATGGTGCCCCACACAGCCAACTTCACAGCACCCCCCGCCCCCTCCCCCCCCAAAAAAAAACATATAGTATGCCTAAGTTTTGAATGAACACAGTCAGAAATCGGTACAGATCACTCATTGCATTGAGTCAGGAAAGAAAGGGGCTGGTAAATGTGACATATTTAACGGACCTTTCAAGACCCCACTCTTGAAGGATCCTATTGTGTGCTTGCAGCTGCCGATGGGAAGGAGAGGAGGGACGCTGGAAGAACTGTGGGGGCACACAGGGGGACCTGAGCAGCAGGAGTAAATTTATGGTGCATGAGGGGGGTGATGGGAAGAGGGCAATTATTGGAACCAATCCCCTGTATGGCTCTCTGCAGCAGCTGAAAGCTGGTTTCTTCTCCTTTCCCTCCCACTGGCTTTCAGCTGCTATAGAGAGCTATGCAAGGGATTGGTTCAAGTCCACCCCACCACCACCCCCCGGCTGTGCCGATCACCCTCCCTGTCCACATCTGATTCACCCAGCTACCTGGGCCCCCCTGCTGGCCTGGGCCCCATACAGGAGGACTGGAGGTACCCCCTTATCCAGAGCCCTGGCTACAACCAAAAGAGATAGCAAATTGCAAGCTTTCCTTAGAATATCACTTCAGAAGACATTGCTCCATATTTCTGCATAAGTACAGTAGCATATGTCAAGGTTTATATAGTGTTGATCCACAAAAAGAGTATCTCTCTGGAAACAGTTGCCCAATGCTCTAAAAATTTGACTTCAAAAAAGGGGTTCTTAAAGACACATTAGACACATCTTATTTGAATGTAATAGTCACCAATGCTGGCATCAATATTACTGTAAGTAGTCCTTACAGTCCTGTTAGATTTATCACTGTTCATCACACCATAGCAAAGTCAGCACACTATTTTTCAACTGTGCAAAAATAAAAAAAATCACAAGTGTCAGAGTAATCCAGGCCTGGGTTTTTTATGATGAAATTATATTTCATGTGATACAGTATCTTTTGGTTAATATTTTTAACAATAATAACTGTGATATTGGGTGACTAAGCTCTTGTGGTAGGTGCGTTTGTGAGACCTCATCAGTCCAAACTGTATTTTAAAAGGATTGGCAGCCCATTGTTATTAGAAAAAGAGGCAAAGCAAAGTTCAACACAACGTACAGTTCCCATAAAGTTTCCCACACAGGAATTTTCCAGCTTAATCAATACCACAGATAACTGAAAATGTTAGCCCATCTGGCTACCCTTCAGCAGCTCCACTGCTTTTAGCATTAGTCTTCCAGACCATGGGTTCTTCAGGCCCACTCCTGGCCTCCAGATAGGGTTCTCCCCAGCACCTCGGGTTCTCGGGAACTCAGACCCCTATGTGGACTTGCTAATCACCTCAGTTTTCACAGTCTCTCTGGACCCGCAGTCTTGACTCTCCCAGTCCTGTAGGTAATAATTCCCCCAACAT